CTAACTTTTCTTGTCTTTGAGCAGCTTTCTAATGCTGCGCTGGCTCGGACCGGATGAGTGTAGCGTCAAAAGTTACATATGTTACATTGCTTGGAAATATTCAGCATGAGATTGACTGGTTAACTTTCTTTCAAACCTCGGAACAGCCGAGATATTTAGAGTTATCAAACCATCAAAAATAAACCGACAACAGATAACACCGCTCCATTTTATTGGCTAAACGCCCCGATCAGACACTTCCAGGACCAGACAGAACCGTCCTAAATGAGATGAAAAGTTCGAAATTGAGCGAAACCATCGGAGATCAGGCCGCTTAGAATTGGACGGAGCCTTTTGAAAGCAGGGGGAATCGTCCTTAAAGAGTTGAGACTCAACTCTTCATGAAAACGTGAGGATTGAAAGTTGTCAAAACTCAGAAAGAACATTTAAAGCTTTTAAATTCTATAGTTTTTGCGATTAAAAACGCAAACTGCCCTTGGTTTCCTAACGAATACAGATATATTCAAATTATGAAAAACTTCTCACTGAAATTAAGACTCAATGTCCAATCGAATTTGAAGAGTAGTAATTTAAGGGAAAATAGTAACGTCTTACGATCACCAGTTCCCAATAAAGTCTCCCGACCGTACAGCGGGTCGGCCCTACTCTAAATGACAAAGATAAACGACGAAAAATTTAAATACTTTTTCAGCGCGAAAGGGAAAACGAAAAATTAAAGCTGCAGTGTCAATTCCGTTTTCCTCCAAGCGAGGGATTTTCAAGAAAACCCACGAACAATTGCAATGATACAAAATCAGACGCTTTTTTGGTGGTGGTGGGGAGGTCGAGTGGGGTAGGACACTTACTTTTCGCTTATTCCCAATCTCTTGATTCCAAGGGGTACAAAGCATTTTGTGCAAATTCTACGCATACCAGCAGTTTTTTGTTTGCGATAACTTGCCTTAAAAATTCATAAGAGTAGCAAGAGCCGGGAATTCACGGTCTGCGTCAAAGGTCTGCACGTGAGAGGAGCGCTTTTAGGGAACTGACTGAATTTTGAACGTTATGTAACGTCGTACCCTATGGCTTGTTTATTCCCAGCGCCATGAGACTCTCTTATATGGCTTTAAGGAAACGAGAAAGATATTGTATAACCCACCAAGCATTCTTCTTAAAAGTACATGCGTCTTAAGTTGTTCCTAAGGCAAAATGAATGATTCACTTATGTAACCTCAGAGAACAACTAAATCCATCGCAGGCGAGCACATACAGGCTGCAAACAGTCCTTAAACGCGAGCTATCATCGATATCATCGGTCAATATGTGACAGGACATTTGACAGCTTTAAACCTGCGCTCTATTTCCTGCAAGCATGGACGATGTAGCTGAAGTTGTCATCACCTCGTCCAGCTTTGATTGTGGCTTGAAACAGTCTAAAACAGAGACAGAAGAGAGGAAAGGAACCACTTGAGCATCAAAAGAAACAAACAAACAAACAAAGGCAAGACAACAAAAATACAGCAGAAAAAGTAATCCGCTCTTCAAACCTTACTGAGATTACGTTTTTACTTAGATGTAACTCCATGTATGCTTAATCCTCAGATAAGCCCAATATACGCTGCTTCCTCTTGTCCCTAGCTAGAGGGAAAGGAAAGCGGGCTGGTCATTTCCCAACCAGCAGCTGGTAATCGAGCCAAAGTCTTAGAAAGCTTATTTTAAACCGAGCTGTTTCATTTAAAGACTCCTGACAATCAAAACTGCCTTTTGAGTTGGCCAGTGCTCTAAGTTAGAGCAGTAATAAACCTACATTATATACGTCGGTGGAATAAATATAAGCTAATATAACTGAACTGAGTGGTTAAGGTGTTCGACTAGACAACTTAACGCACCTTTGCAAAGGCGGAACATCTTGTCACAAATAAACTGGAATACTGCCATGTAACCGTCTCTAAACTCCTGGAGAAACGCGGCGAAGAAAACAGGGTTGAGACTGGGTGACAAAAACGCTGCTGCTATCACATATTGGAAGACTTCAGCGCTGATATGATGACCGGACATGATGCATCCGACAGCGACCTGAAAATAGTAANATTGTTTACTACTTTGTATTTGTTCCTGAACTCTTGCAATTCTTCGGATCGACTAAGTGCCTTTTCATGCTTTAGGACAGGCCTGTAGCACTTATTACAGAGCACTTGTGAGACCTTGGAATTGTTTTCAACTTTGGCGTTCACAACAAGCCTAAAGCGGCGCAGAAAATCTCGATTCTTCTCGGTGAAAATATTCAATTGAGAATAGCCATTTATCTTGACGTTTTCGTTGCAAAATCGGCAATAATCGTTTGCCCGAGGGAAGTAGATTTTAATCGGGGTTTTTGTTGGAGTTCGTACTACATGCGAGCTTGTCATTTGGCACGTGTAGCAAATATTTTGACAGATATTGTAAATACGGTCACGAAACAAAATATATTCCCCACCCCCACTCCAGATACAAGTAAAAGCACTACACCTACCCCCAGAGGTATTTTAATACTTTACTCTGACTGGTTATCGGAAAGGGGCGTGATTGATGGCTGTCACCCGAAGCTTGGTGGCATGAAAGTGAGATTCTTAACGGTCCTGACCAGAGGTTCTCTCCGCTCGCTGCTTTACAGCTCGTTTGGTCGGCGCTTTGCGCCGAATTCTCGTACTCCAGTAGAGAGAAGAGAACCTCTGGGACCAGGGTATATGGGGGGAAGCACACCATTAGTACTGAGGGAGGGGTGTGTGCATTATTTAAGTACTGAGGGAGGGGTGGGAGGCAGAGTGTTATTACTCAGGAAGGGGTCGGAGGTGGTTGTACTTGTAAACACTACTTGTTAATTCCATTCCAGTCCATATTTTACCCTATGCCTCTTAATCCCTAATAGTGACTAGCATCTAATTTCTCCTCATATTATCGCCCTTGAATCAAACATTAAGGTCACGTTAATTGGGGAAATGATCGCCAACTAAACAAGCTCTTGGTTGTCAAACAAATTCTCCTTGTCAGCACCTTAGGAAATGTATGGAGAACAGTATGGATAAAATGCATACTGATGTTAGGATGTAAAGAGTCAAAAAAGCGTGTTATACCGAGCTTCTAAAACGAGTTTTACAAACACAAAGGTCTAACCAATCGATGAAATTGATAATCGATCAATTTTGATATCAATCGATATTGACATCAGAAATCGATGTACAAGGATGATAGAAACGTTAATGCCTTTAATATGATTGAAATTCAAAGAATGGCTCCTTTTGTCATCGACTTTCATCGTATTTTGCCAGTTTGGATCATTAACATTAATAACAGCTGTCCTTGGTCAATTCACACTGAAATTAACGGATTAACCGATGGGGTCAGTCAATTGATAGTAGTATTTGCTAATTAATACACCATCGACTTGCACAAGTTCCGTAACTGATACTTAGTGCTTGATAACTACCAGCTTTTCATTGTAGGCATCAACAGTGGTGAACTAATCAATCTCTTAACTTAAAGTTCTTGACTCAGTGTGAAAATATCTGAGAAGGTTAAGTGTCTTATAACGAAGCGTGCTATAAAGTTTCTTCCGTATCCTGCCAACAAGGAAAACATCGAAGGGGTTTATTTCACTTGATCTCACTTGTCTGGTAAGAATTCACGCCGCGAAAGAAATTGCAAGAGAAACGCCAGCTTAAAATGCCCATTCCTCCTT